CAGATAAAAGAAATTGAAACTCCTGTAGTTGATAACAAACTATACTAAAGCATTATTGGAAGATTATTCTATGCTACAATTAGTCACTACAATCTCCAATTTGTAGTATGTAGGATATCAAGATATATAAATAATCTTTAGCATACTCACTTAATTGTAACTTAAAAATATAATCATTTATGTGATTAAATAAAGAAAAAATATTATATATATTCTTGAAATATTAAGAATAATCTTGTAATCTTGATAATTGCAAATCTATCCCTCACTTTTGTGATAATTGCAAATATGCCCTTGAACTTCATAAGGTATAAGCATAGTCTTATTTTAGATGAATTTGGGGCCTAAATTGCATTCCACATAGATTTTAGTTTATCACTTTTTGGCACATTTTTGGCACCCTACGAATTGGATAAAAATTGAGTAGAAAATGACCAATAAAAATATTTAAAAATGATGATTATAGTGCATTTGAATATTTTATAAAAATAGCATTATAGAGTTGTTTATTAATTATATATTTTAAAGTCATATATTAAGTATAGTTTATTTTAAAATAAATAAATAAATAAATAAATACATAATCTAATGCATTAAAACAGCTATACAATTATCTTGAAGTTAGCTAGGGGCATTGTTATATATATATATATATATATATTTGCTTCTTTGAGGGAATTTAAAAGTCGTTTTCATTTCTATTAGTTGTTGTTTTTTAGTCCTCTAAGCTACTAAATTTCTAAAAGTTTGCATAAATAAGATAGAATTGGTGTTTAATATTTATTTTATAACTAAGTATTTGTTTTTAAAAAATCAATCAATGCAAAATTATTAATATTATCAGATATAATTGAATCTCATTTCTTCAATGCATGTTTATCCAATTGTGGTTTTGATTATCTAAGATTCATATGTTGATTATAAGTTTTAAAATATTCAAACTAGAATCTTGTCATGTCTATTCTGACAATATTTCATGTTAATTGTACCATTTAAAGAATATTGCATGCAAAATTATTCATAACAGCAAGCCATAAAATATGTACAGATATAATTGAAACAAAAAGAAAAAGAAAAATATAAAAACAATAATCATTAAAGTTTTGAATTTTCTTCTTTCTTTTTTCTTTCTTTCTTCTATGGAATTTGTATATAAATGGTTTAAATTTTAGGAATTCATGCAAGGATGCTATTATATACAATTAAATTTCACAATGGCATTTCATATTATTTATGAAATCATGTCAGGTTTATAAAATTAGAATTATAAAAATGTGGTCTTAAGTATAAGTTTACTCAATTGGTGTAGATAATAAATGTATCTACAAGTTTGCAATAATCTATAATAGAAGAATGCAATGTACAAATGTACAAATTTATTTTATAAATGTTATAATATTTTTTACAGCTCTCATCAATTTAATGAATAATCCAAATGTTATAATCTTTTTTGTAAAAGAATTTTACACATTTGTACATTACATGCTTCTACTATAGATTATTGCAAACTTGCATATACATTTGACATCTTTATCAATTGAATATATATTTATATATATATATATATATAGAATCCAAATGTTACAATATTTTTTATTAATTTAAAATTATAAAAAGAATACTAAATATTATTTTTAAATGTTTTAAGGATGCATATTCTTAAAAGAATAAGTTTTAAATTGAATGAAAAAGCTTTTATTTTGTCTTCTTGTAATGTAATAAACAGAACTTTGTGCAGAAATCTATGAAAATTGTGCTTGAATGAGTAATTCAAAACTAACAATTACAACAACAAAAAGCTCATCAAGTACCCACATCACCACTTTTAGGGTTTCAACGGGTTGTCATATCTTGGAATGTGGGAAGAATGTGAAGCCCGCAGCTCTTTGTCTCAGACCCTGATTCATGAGGTCGTTGAATTAGGGCTTAGGAGAGAAGGGTATGTCACGTGATCATTTTGAGGACTTCGCTTTACTGGCTGCCCGCATGCATTAATCAACACTGCCCCTCACTACAGATGTGCGCTAGTCCCAATCCTCAGAGTCCTCTGTAGGTCTGAGAGGTTGGCAGAAGTTCCATGGGATGCTGTTTATGATATTGCTTCGCTTAGTTTCCGACCACTATCACACCGTGGCGAGTTGGGTTCGGTTTGTTGGGTGTTGTAAGTGAAGGGTTTAGGGTTTAGCTGTTATGTCGAGGATGGTTACCTCTATGGGGGTTGGTTGTGGGCGGTGCTGGGACCTTGTTTGACTAGAAGAACCTCCTCAGTATGCCACCTGCATTTCTGTGACGCTACAGTGTAAACTGAGGCTTTCTAGTGGATGGTACAGCGTCTCAAGGTCTGTCTGCTTTTGTTTGAGCATGGCTTCTGTCTGGGTATAACAAAGCCGTTGATGAAGAAAATACCCAAATTGCTGACTCCTGTGATGTTCATCGTATCACCATCTTTCGACTGAGGCTTGATGTGTGGGGTGGAGTGGGGTGAAAGAGATGAAGGCTGGATGAAGATAGAATACATAGACCTGTTCTGAACTTCGTGTTGAGCAAACATTCACTACCAACTGACAGTTTTCTGGAGAAATTTAGTTGGGTCTTATGGGCTTGAATATTTGAAGCGACGGGAGTTGTATCCTTGGCGGGGTGCAATTCTAGCATTCCGGAGCGGCCATCGCATCCATGTGATGCACTTGTGGCCGCAGAGTCCTTTGCCAACGTCGTAGAGCAATTTGCTTACGTGACGAATCCCCTGCGCATCTTGTGCGGAGGATTTGTCCGTGAAATCGAGGTTGCATATTCCATTGCCCTAGGGAGCAGCGTCGCTGCAGTTACTCTTTGGGACAGACCATACAATCTATAGAGACTCAATAGATAGTTTCGCGTACTTAGTGAAGTGGTTATTGATTACAACTATTTAGAAATCTTTCGGATCGTAGTCACCTTTGGGTGGCGACGATGTTATTCAGAATGACTGCGTCAAGGTTAAGAAGGGTGAGGTCAGGATTGTGTGTCTCCTGCACGAGAAAGCAGAGGTCATCGATGGCGCCCATGAGCTGGTCTCTCGTCAGTTGCAGGTAGAGTATCGCATCATTTTTAGGTGGTGAGCCATTGTCTGTTTGATGGCAACGGGTTCAATCCATGGTGCAAAATTTTCCAGAGTCTTTTCACCGATGTTGAAGGGTTGGATATGTGTTTAATTCGTTTTCATGCACCCAGAGGATTGGGATCTGAAGCGGTCAATACATCCTAATTTACGGATTAGTACACATCTACTAAAACATAAACTAAAAATTTTCAAAATAAGCGCTTTCATACTCTACTTGATTTAATTTAACTAAATAAATTGGACATCAATCAAACTCGGCCAGTTTCTACTAAATCAAATCAGTTGGAACACAAAGTTTTCCATCCGACAAGTAAAGCTGTGTTCCTGTATAATTTGTGCTTAATACAAAAGACATGTAAATATACACATATGTTTAACATTCAACCGAGATTCTCAAAAGTATACTGATTAAAGCAATCATATTAGCTATTTCTGGAAGATAGATTTTCGGAGGGAACAAGAATATGAACTTCAAGTGAGTAACTAGGAAGTAAATTAAAGTGGGGATAAAGAAGCGAGATAAGTATTAACTTTATTTTACAAAAACAAATTGTATTATTTACCAATCGTTGCTCTTTGATTATTAAATATTCAAACACACACATACACTTGGTTTAGGAAGAATTATATTAAGAGACACTCACAGATAATGAATTCAAAAATTATTCAAGAAAGGAATATAAGATGTTGAACCTACGATTATTTTTAGACTAACGCAAGACAATTTGCAAAAAACCTACATTAATCTCATTTAGTTATTTATTTTATTTTTAAGTGAACCAATTTCTCTTTCATTCATACATATATAATATGTAAATATATATGTATAGAGCATAATTTTTTGTTTTCTTATTTTTTGAAGATTTAGATGTAGTGATTGATGTGGTGTTTTATTTAGACTAGTTTGGAAGTGTCCGTGGTTGATATGATATGAGATTTCCATATCATAATATTTCATTAATTTTTTTTTGTTAGCCATGTAGATTTTGTCTAAATTCGTGAGATAAGATAAGCTATGTATTCTATATTTCAATATAAAAATAGGAGGTATTTTTTCTCTAAAAGATTTTAAGTTCTCTATCCATCTTTCCCATGAGCAGTCTAAAAGAATTGATGTCATAGACTACATAAAATACAGATCTTAGTGCGGTTGTAGAGAATATGAATGTAGAGACATGTCATCTGTGAGGTTTCATTGTATGGTTATATAGACTTGGAATCTCCTACTAAAGGATTCTCTATAACTTTGGTGTTATTTTTAGATAGATAAATTTGAAAACTAACTTTCATGTGAGTAACTTTAAGTTCTTGATGTATTGCACAAGCACAAAAAATAACCGTGTCTTCTAATACAAACCATGAACAAAACAACTCCACAATTGTAAAATATGCATATTATTCGAATTTAGTAAATACCAAAATTTTCTGCTTTTCATCAGGTTAACCCAATATTTTGAAATACTACATTTTGCTTCGCCATATTGCGTTGATCCTCGTCTTCGCCTTCCGTCAACCTCGTAACGCTTGTCTCGTGTTTCCTGGTGTTGTGAAAGTTGCTTGAGAAGCTCTTGAATGACTCTCAATATCTACAAGGTCACAATGTTCACAAGGTCGATTCCGGATGCTAGCAGACCCTGGTTTACAAAGCTCCACATCTCTAGTTACAACCACAGCATGCAACCAGGACATAATTAAAAAAACCATGAAATGTCAAGTTGATGAAACACGTTCTATCGTTTGTGGAGAGACCGACAAGGTGGTCATTCATCACGACCCCTAATCGTCAACCGACCATAATTCACCCCCAAAATCTTACACTCGCGAGAGTATCAACGGCATCTTATAGATTTGTCACCATCCTCCCCCCCCCAGCGCTACTTAACGCAATTCCTGCCCTGAATCAAAATATCGTGGCTTGTGACACTGTGCCTAACATTCTTATTACCCGCACCAGGTCCTGCTAGTTGTTGTGTCTATTTGCCTGTAGCAATTCTGTCCTCCAGAGTCTGAAGAAATGGCGGCGACCATGAGCATTTCCGCTGCGGGAGTGGCCACGGGACTGGGTGCCAATGTGGAGCTCAAGAGCAATGTCGGGTCCAGCTCGAGCTCGGTGGCGGGGGTCCGCCTGTTCACCTCGCGCAAGGCGCAGCTCAGGCGCTGTGCCGCGCCGGCCACCAGCGCGTCGCTGTACTCCGATGCCAATTACGACCTGAACAACTACAAGTTCGCCCCCATCAAGGAGTCCATTGTGGCCCGCGAGATGACCCGGCGCTACATGACCGACATGATCACCCACGCCGACACCGACGTGGTGGTGGTGGGTGCTGGGTCCGCGGGGCTGTCGTGCGCGTACGAGCTGTCCAAGAACCCCAACGTGAAGGTGGCCATCGTGGAGCAGTCGGTGTCGCCTGGAGGAGGCGCGTGGTTAGGCGGGCAATTGTTCTCGGCCATGATCGTACGCAAGCCGGCGCACCGGTTCCTGGACGAGATCGAGGTGCCGTACGAGGAGATGGAGAACTACGTGGTGATCAAGCACGCGGCGCTGTTCACGTCCACGATCATGAGCAAGCTGCTGGCGCGGCCGAACGTGAAGCTGTTCAACGCGGTGGCGGCGGAGGATCTGATTATCCGGGGCGACCGGGTGTCGGGCGTGGTGACGAACTGGGCGCTGGTGGCGCAGAACCACAACACACAGTCGTGCATGGACCCGAACGTGATGGAGGCGAAGGTGGTGGTGTCGTCGTGCGGGCACGACGGGCCATTCGGGGCGACCGGGGTGAAGCGGCTGCGGAGCATCGGGATGATCGAGAGCGTGCCGGGGATGAAGTGCCTGGACATGAACGCGGCGGAGGACGCGATTGTGAAGCACACGCGGGAGGTGGTGCCAGGGATGATCGTGACGGGCATGGAGGTGGCGGAGATCGACGGGTCGCCGAGAATGGTAAGAACGTCGAGGCAACGTGGTGATGGTTCATGTGTGTGGATGATCGCCTTGCCGCTTGCCGCTTGCAGAGTGAGGTGCAGAATGCTGAAGGAATTGTGGTGTGGAAATGGAATGCAGGGACCCACATTCGGAGCGATGATGATATCCGGGCAGAAGGCGGCACACTTGGCGCTGAGGGCGTTGGGGCTACCCAACGAGGTGGACGGGAACTACAAGCCCAATGTGCACCCAGAGCTGGTATTGGCGTCCACCGACGACATGACGGCATCCGCTTAGAATTCAGCTAATCCGTGGAACCTTGGGTTCGATGGGAAGTTGAGTCTGTTTTGATAAGATGTGTGATGTGTAAGCAGTTAGTAACGAGGGTCATCCATGATGGGTGGCGAAGTTGATTAGGATTAGGTTTGTATAGGGGGGAGGCGGATCCGGGTAAACATGGAGTGTTGCCGTTTCGGTTTCTCGAAAGATGTGCTCGAAGAATGGTGTGTTTGTTCTGTGTTCAATGGAATGAGCAATAAAATGGACAATCGCTTGTTGGCAATCGTAAGCTGCAATCGCTTATTGTCGCCGGGTCAGCAAGCTGACTTTCGTATATGGGTAGAGGAGATACCCAATCGACCAGATCGGTTGGACTGAGGAATTTGAATTTCACTGATGCTGATGCACTGTCCATTTGGTTGTCATGTATGCATACCGATGGGATGTCGACATTCTTTAATGTTTCTGCTAGATGCGAACTTTCGTCATCGAACTGGACAGTTGCAAAATCGTAGGTCATCCCTAGATTCGAGAGAGTTTTGTATGTCAATATATAGCATTTGTCCCGAGGGAATCGTCCAATACATTACTGTAGACATGAGTCATCACCAACGAATCTTGTTCAGAGATTATTTTAATTGTTCAAAAAACAAGAGATCTGTCATAACTCATGAGTCTTCTACACCATTCGTTGCCAATTCTGCTTTATTCTTTTGTATAAACGGTAGGATGTGCAATCCAGCATACTACATCTATGCTGGTGCATTAGTCCAGTTAGTTTTCATTTCTCACGCGTTCAGATATAATCAACATCGTCCCATGATTTGTCAACTTCAGTAAACGAACAATCGGTGAAGGATATTGTGCTTTTCTTGCTAGAATCTTTCTCTAATCTTCAATGCTAGAGCCATCTTGACATAGTCTTTTTCGACCTCAGAGCTACATACCTCATGATCGAAGGAATGAATCACAATTTGGGCGGGTTGAACGCCGTGCCAGATTTTAGGAATCGCATTTCTCGATGTTTCTCCTGTCGATTTACTCAGTTATAAAAGGAATATCGCCGAATGGTTCTGATTTACTTTCTGATTACATCGGAATAGTTACATAAAAGCTCCAGCCGGTCCACGATCCACACCGCTCTGGGAAACATGCAATAATCTGCTAGTCTATTCTTGGAGGAACCCAACAATTGATGATGATAGCTCATAATATTCACTACAGGGGCCACTCTCAAGCCTCGGGGGCCACTGCAAAATCCTACTGCAGAAACAACCTATACATGATGGCTGAGATCTGTTGGTTGTGCAGCTGGTTGCATAACTCGAAGGTCTGGCTCTCTGGTTGTGCCGTTCGATCTATCGACGACACTTTGCAGAACCACGAGAATCGTGGCATCAATCGCAACCTTGCAACTAATCCACGACTAACTCCAATCTGCAATGCACGGTGTCGATCATCTCGAGAATGGGCCTACAGCCCCACTGATAAAGTGATGCGTGGATCCAACGTCGTGATGGTGACATGCGGTACTAAAGATGGAATTCCTGCAATATCAAAATGTGGAAGATCTTTCCATCTAGACGACCAAGTCTCCAGGTCTGTAACTGGCCTTTCGATGTGATTGTTGCATATTGTAGATACAAAATGTGGGTTGAGCCGATTCCTCGTTTTGGTGGACATGCCTCGCATCGAGCGTTGCCTGGTCGCAAAGAGCCTTTGCCGAATTAGCAAATCCCTCGAAGTGGTATCGCATCAAACAAAAGGCAAGAGTCCAACGTCTCATTCATTCAAGATAATGAGCTCAACCTTCAAGTCCCTGTTGTGCTTGCAAGCTCTCACTTATGGGCATTATCCATGGACTGAAGAAAATGCGTTGCAGATTGTTCTTTTGGTGGATTGGTTCTCTATTAATATCTATTTTGACAAAGAAATTAAAAATCTGAAACAAGCAACAAGACGCTTGCACTAAATTCTTTAAAAAGAAAAGATTTCAAGAATTATTTGAGATGCTGTTCCAATGAGGTGGCAAATATTAATAGCATTGATCTGGTAGGAGTTCAATGACTAAGTGGTTTTTTCTTGGTGGAAAATAGTATTTGATAAAGTATTAACATTTGGGTTTTAAAGCAAGGAGCATGAATAGATATAATAGTCAAAGGACTTTTGTAATGTATATAAGAGTCATTATAATTTGCTCCAATGTGGGTGGGATGGAATTTGGTTGTGGGACAAGACTACTACAAGAATTGTTGGTTTAGAAGAAGTCATGTCTTTAAATTATCCATATTGAGTGGTTGAATTCAGAAGCATGTTAGCCAACTGTAGTTGATTTTTGTTGCACCTTTGACATTATTTGTGAAGAGCATTGAAAGAAGAAGTGATAGAAGTTGAATATGATTTGGATGATCTATCTTTGGCTTGCTTTCCATAGCATAGGACATTAGATAAGATGTTGTGTGGAAGATCAAATGTTGTAATGTAGATATATTTAAGTGAATCTATACAAAATTTATTAAATAAAAATACCTAATTGGATAGAATCTTAAATTTTATTATTAAAGATATCATGTGTTTTCAATAATTATAAACAAATTTGGTTATGAATTGATGTAGATTATAAATCTAAATATAAAATTATTTACTATTAAAAATATCTTGATATTAAAATTAATATGCAACAAATATATCTCCAAATGAAAGGATTGAATTTATTGTAGTGTATGTCATGAATCACTTATAAATTTTGAGCATCTTAAAGGTCATTTTCAAATAAGCTTAGCTAAATGGTTTCATAGATTTTGCCATCAAAATTGATAACAATGTTGAGCTTACAAGCATGAATAATTAGACACATACTATCTTCATATACTTGCATGTTGGTGGCTTTTTTAGTGGACAACACACTTGATATTAAAATTTATTGCATAAATGTGTAAAAATTTGAAAATGACTACTTTAGCATAGAAATGGATTATCAAGTATTTTGAAAGTAAGAAGAATATGATGTTATAATATTTGTCATTGAAAATAATAGTTGTATTTATAGATCTCGTAGTAATATGAGGTATTGGTTTATAAAAGATGTTAAAGGTCTTTTGATTGAGTTAATGGCATTACAATTTGGTTTCCACTAGTAAAAATCAATTTTAGACTTATGGCTACAAGTGTAAGTGAGTGGATGGCAATTGCCTTTGCTAAGTACAGTTTTGTGATTAGCTATTGGTGTCACGGCCATAATCATGTAAGCTAATAATTACATATAGAAATAGGTAGAAGTAAGTAAAAGTAGATAGAAATAAGTTAATTCTATAATATTTAATATAGAAGCTTCCTAGAAACTTTCTAGACGCTGCTTTGACTTCATAGGTGTCTTTAATTGACTTTTTGGATTAGAAACGTGGTCAACAAGTTGGCCATGTGCCACACATGTTGTTAGCTTGATGATCAAGCTAACTATGTGGCCCACACGTAGAAAAACTTGCCTTGTAAGTCAAGGCATGTGTCCTACAAAGTCAACACATATTGGAGGTCCTATAGAACGTCGCCACGTAGCCCCTATTTAGATAGTATATATAGAGACAAGAGTGAAGGCTTCTTCACTCTTGTCAACTCCTTTCTTGCTTCTAGTCCAGGTTCAAAAGTCTTTAGTTTCTTGTCTTGTGGCAATAGCCATTCCAGTTTCCTTTTAATATACCTACTTGTTTATATTTTGACTTATTATATCGAGATAGCCTTTTGGTGTATATTTTCCCTCATCGAGTCTTTGTCCTTGACAATTGGTTTGGTTGTTGCAATTAGAGTTGTAGGTGTTATAATTAAAATATAAAGCTTAGTCATCAAATTTTAATTTTAAATATTACATTAATTGGTTAGAAAAAATATCTAAGTTAATAGTATGTTTTAGTAATTTTTTTAAAAAAACATAGAATTTATATAGAATGAGTCTAAAATACAAACTCTAATAATTCAAATATGAGTACATCAAAAATTTGGTAGGTTGGAAGGTTCTCCTTAAGCTTAGCTTTGATTCAAAGAAGGCTTGTAGATCACTTTGAATTATCATTGGATTTTTATATTTCTTGTTAAATGTTAATTTAACAAGTACTAATTCCAAAAAAAAATCCAAAAAAAGTTAATAAGTTGTAGTTGGAATTCATGTTCAAAGGAATTTTGTACGAATTTTGAGTTTAATTTGCATTCCATACAATTCATTTTTTGTATAGAATAAAATTTTAACTTTTATTAATCAAATTAATCTTGATTCTAAAAAAAATCATAGAAGAATATGGCATTCTATGTATTTCCAAAGTATTTATCATCTTTGTATTTTAGTTTTAATATTAAAATATTGTTAGACAAAATTCAACTTAAAAGATTAAAAGATTAATTTGATTATTAAAAGTTGAATTGTATGAATTAAATTTTATTAATCAATTTTTGTAGAATACAATTCAACTTTTTTTAAATTATTCTAAATATATAAATATAAATATAATCTTTTACATAAGAATACTATTTATATATTTTAAATTAGCTTATTATTATAAATATTACAATAGATTGTATATTGTATTAATATTTTTCATAATTATGTTTCTCCTTAAGTTAAATTTGACTATTAAGTAGAATTACATGTGCAATTTGATTTACCAAATTTTAAAATAATAAAAAATAATATTGAAGGTTTTAAATTATTTATTAATCTCATGTCAAAAAAATAATTTTAAATTTCTCATTTTTAGGTAGATAAGTAGAAAAAAATTATAGTTCATTCAATTAAAGTATTAGAAGTTAGAAGTTAAAAAATATCATATTAGAAGTTGAATTAGACAACTTTTTAAGTGAAAAATAAACATAAGTCATTCTATACTTTTAATTGGAAATATTTATGGTCTTATTATTCATCCAATAGATATTAAGAAATAAAATTGGTTCTTATAGTATACCTTACATATAAATTTGTCTCTCTAAAAGATATTAATTTTATTTTTATTGTAATCCAAGCAATTCTATTCTATTTGTATAAAAAAAATAAAAAATAAAAATAAAATCTAAGAAAAATACATGTAAACTAATTGCTTCACAATAAATTGATCCTGTATCAACATCTACATTTGAAACTCCAAAATATTTAAAAATTAAAGATCCAAAAGCAACCATTACATAGCTTGAATGGTAATTACTTCTAATAGAGAAGAAAAAAGATTATAACAATAATTATAATAATAATTTTCACACATCATGCTAATCTCATTGAAAACCTTCTCACTACATTTGTTACTTTTTTTTTCTTTTAATATCTTACTTTCAACGCCCCAAAATATCTATAAATT